AGTCCGCCTCCGCCGCCTCCGTGGTGGCCGCCGCCGCCGCCGCCAAGACCACCAGCAAGAACTCCAGCATCGCCGACCTCCGCCTGAAGGCCAAGAAGCACGCCGCCGCCCTGGGGCTGTGACCGGGCTCGCTCGCTTCTTTTTTTTTTTTTCTAAATGAAAAGGGGGGGGGGGACACAAAGACGAGGGGGAGGAGAAACTGACGGGAGATATATACTTATTTAAAGAATTAGAGGAACTAGACGCGCAGCTGGGAAGTTCACAGGTTTTGAAACTGACCTTTTTCTGCGAAGTTCACTTTAATACAAGAAATTTGATAAGAGAGGCGGGCCTCCTTTCACGTTGCATCAGATACTTGAGTTTAACAACCACGTCTGGAATAGCGACAAAAAGAAGAGAGAGAGACGACGACGAAGAGGGGAAAAAAAAAAAAAACCCACAAAAAAAAAAAACCACGGGGAAAAAAGAGACAATGATTTCTCTGCGAATTTCTAATGGGAAACTGTCCGGGATACTTCCTCCAGCAGCATTCCGGGTTGCATGTATTTGTATTTCATTGATGGAGTCCTTTGATTCACTTGCACTTCACCCTCATCTTTAGTAGGAAAAAACAAAACAAAACAAACAAACGTGGCTGGGTTCTTTCTCTTTTAATCTCGGAGGGAAGCAGAAAGAGAGAGGGAGATCAAGCACTACTTTTTCCACTCTTAAATCTTTGTGGGTCGTTTGCTGTCCCACCTCTGACATAAAAGGGAGCGGAAAGCATCAGGAGAGCGGAACGTGCCTCCCGTTGCGGGGTCTCTCTTGTCCGAAGGGCAAAAACAAAAGAAAAAAATAAAAAAATAAAAAAAGAGTATTTAATTCCCAACCACCACTTTACACAACGGCAAATTCCAATAAGAGGTACTGGGTACATGTAAAATATGTTGATACACACGAACAAAGTTTATTTTGGCTATGACTTGTGAATCGATAGTTGACTGTCAAACATTTACATTTTATCTCATAAAGGTGTATCTATTCACGTAATCTTGTGATTTTTTTTTTGTTATTATTATTTGAAAGACGTATAGCTATTTAACCTGGGGTACCTTGCAGTCGGTGATTGTTATCCCAGTTTGCCATCAGACCCTCATGCTTATTGCCAAGACAGAGGGAAAGCTCTTCTACGCGAACTTTGGTATGGACGGGCTTTGTATCTATTTGTTCTCCATGAAAACAAAATTATTTATATTGACCATATTTTTTCTAGTGTATTTTAAGTTATTTTAAAAAGAAAAAAAGAAAAAAAGATGCTGTTATTTCATTACATTTGTTGTCAGTACAATATATTTTGTTTCACTCAGGTTTGCTTCACCTTTTTTAATCCATTTTCGACGTCACGAATTTCAATAAGTGCCAAGTAATGAATTTAAGACACTTTGCGACCTATTGACTGAAAAGGGTAACGTTTTGGTGGACGGTTTCACGTCACCTCTGGTACTGTTAATAGTAAATCATCGGTGATATTCTTTCTTTTCTGTGTTTACACCTTCTGTAGAGCTCGCACGTTTCTTTCTGCTCCGTAGATATCGCGACAAACCGATAGCGCCCAGCACGACGAGGAAGCACCGCTCACCTCTGCGCATCTTTTGTCACCACTTTATATCAGTTTCCCTGAGTTTCGGCTTCACAAAACTTATCGCGGCGTTTTGATTTGGCTTTCTTTTGAAGAAAAATAGACCGGTGGAAGTTATATAGCAATTGTGTCTTTATAAGTTCTGTCAAGTTCCCTCAGGTAATAAAATCGAGGAAAGTGTAATGGCTCAAAATATTTTCCAGGGAAGGAACGGGGGGAATTGGCACTGTGCAAAATTCGCACCTCCCG